TATGCCGATTCAATTAAATAATCAGTTATTGACAGTGAGTTCCGGATTCAAAAATCATCATAAACTCACTATCTGATACATAAGTATATTATTAGTTTATTAGATGATATATTATTCATCATCTATTAGCGTTTTAATTCCTTTAGAACAGATCAACTTTCAGTTCGTTTTCATTGCCTAATCAGTGAAGTTTGCTTTGATGGAGTGGTTCAAATATTCGATTTCATTTAGGAGCATTTTCACAATATTAGGCATGTTTTAAATCAGATTACAATTACGCGTTTTGGCATATAATCACATCAAAATATTACAGTTAAAGAACAAGGCCACCCAGTCAGTTGAACGATACAAATTGCTCATGTGCTCATTTAAGGCTATATGGTTCGTTTACTACCTTACCTTTACTTCGGTAGAGGTAAAGTAAAGATAAACTTTTCCTGGAGCATTTTAAAGTGAAGGCGAATTGTAATTTAAAACTTACAATGAACTTTACTCTTCAAATTTGGCAGAATGACTAGTCTTTAATTTACATCGTGTTGATTAGTAAAAATTTTTCACGCTGATGGTTTTTTTTGTTTGATCCTCAGTTTGAAAATCCATGAAGGTTGGTTAACATTTCTTCATATTGTTGTAAGAAGACGCTTGAAAAATTTAGGATACAATAGACGGAAAACTTTGACACGGTAAACTGAAAGTGAAAATAGAGCAAGCATGTGTTGAGAGATTTTTGGAGTGTAAAGCATAGGTGAAGCTAATTTCAAGGAATTGAGGTGAAGAAAAGAATGAGCAAATTGCGGTGAATTGACAGTACTGCTATGTGCTGTGTTGACCAGTCACAAAACACCGCTGACTCGTAATTTTCGGCAAATGGAGCTTGTATATCATAATTCGTTTCTTTATTAATCCGACCACAATTAATTATTAGAAGATCTCAAATCCAATGCCTATTCAGATAAACTTTCTGAGATGATGCATTATTTCTATGGCATTCATCTTAAAATTAATATCCGTCACCAATCAGAGAGGATATTAATAGTAAAATGTTCTGCAAGCGATATACTTTAATGTCTACAGTTTAATTTTTATTCGTTTATGAGGTAGTTCAGTAAATAAAACCAGTTTGCAAACAGAACATACAAACAGCTAACATTGCGGATGTTAATACAAAAGTGATTAAACAGGAATAGCCGAGGTATGCAAACAGGGAACAATCATGAGGTGAACAGCCAATCAGAAATGAATGATTGTTACTGTTTTCGAGGGATTATGCTCCTCTTAAGGACTCGTGCATGTGACTGTCGTCCATAATTATGATATTACACCGCTGCTTCTAATAAATTGAGCACAAACTTTTTTAAGCGATTACTTCTTGGTTGAATCGATTGTTTTGTGACTTTAATTTTTCAAGCAAACCGTTGTTTTTCCTGCTGAACGAATTTACGATGTGAACGTAGTAGAGAATAAAGGAAAAGACATTTTTTAATCTACTGAGAAGGTTAGCTGGTGGTTCAGTTGAGAGATGAAGCACACAGCGTTCAACTGCTTTAATCTATTGAACAGAGAGTGAATGCATTGAGGACCATGTATGATTCGTTGTTTTTCGAAGAAGAAAATTGTTGGTATTATAATAAATTGATGACTGGCAAGCCATAGGCTCAATATTATTTCAACTGCACGTTTTTGTTCACACATGAAATTTGACTTTGCTTTTGTGGAAGAAAACATTTCGAGCATTGCATTATGTCAAAGTTTTTAGGAGAGATAGCGATTACCGGTGAAAATAAAAACAGAATAGTTTTAAACAACAGCAAACATCTATAAAATGATTGTCAACTTTTTTGTTGATTTCAGCCTTCAGTTTACTTGAGATTCATCGACTTATATCAGCTGGATTAACGATTCACTGCGTGAACAGGTATTCTAGTTAGGGGATAAAATGGACAAACGTAACAACATCAATTATGCTTTATCACTGAACTATCCATTTCTTCCGCGTTCCATACTACAACGGTTTGATTTGTACGATCAAAATTGAAACGTAATAATTATTGTTCGCCTAAATTCGCATCAAGTTATTGGAATGCGATTTATCTTTGAAACTTGCTGATGTGATGATAAGAATAATAAAATTTATAATTAGCATAACTTCACCTGAAGAGCAAAGAAAACGAAGATCACTGTTCCTTCGCTATTTTCCCATAGAAATTGTCACTGTAACGGTCACTATAGCAGGTGAAGAACGGATCCAGATTACACTTGCAGTGAACATGCGTGAAAATACAAGAAACTTATTTATATGCAGTTGCATAGGGAACAACATCGAGCCTTACAGCAAAACTGAATTTTTCTTGATCAACACATACCGATTGATACATTTATCTTGTTACGATCACGACAACCGCTAAGTACACTTACTAGTTAGTTAGTATAGCACAAGCACTTTGTACTTTTTAAGATGTATTACAGTATCATAATACACTTTTTCTCGAAAAAACGGCGGCCCAATACAACGCAGTAAGTTTGCCTTTTCTGGAAGTTTGGTACAGTACAGAATTCGGTCATTTCTGAGAACCAAAATGCGGTTTACAACTAACATCTGCCTGGACTTGAAATGCAGCAAAATAATTCAGCTCAATGCTGTTTTGGAAGGGAGAAAATCATTTGCTTCGTAATTCACTCGATGAATAGAACATTCACGAATTCATATTCAGCATAAGACCCATAACCAAAACCAATTGATCAGCAATGATATCTTCAAAAGTAAACAAAAGAAAATTGTATCATCGAGTATTTGGCCTACTATGTCTTATGTGCAAATTCTCTTATGTGAAAAATTCACAAGTAATTATGACCACATGCGGATTGTAACGCTTATTTTATTTCTAATAAAGACATGCTTTTGCGAAACTTCTGGCAAACGAACAAAATTCAGCAGAAGATAGTTGAAATAAATGAATCGCTAGTCTACATGACAATCTTGTGCTTTATTTGTGATCTTTTAAAGCTATAATGCTATGATAGAAACCGTTAGACCAATACCACGAGAGCATGTCTGGATCATTTTGGGAAGGATTCTCGTTTAAAGCTCCCAATCAAAACCTAGCATCACAATATAAATTTTCTCATGTTTGCGTTCTCATTTGATGTTCACCGAACTTTTCAACAAATGACCAACCACAGATGCAACCGATGTCAAACCAACAGCTTTAATCATAACACGAGTCATTCAAGGCAACTATGCATATGCACGGTGTATTGTGAACAACAAAATCAAGATTAGTGATGAAAGTTTTATTAGAGATAATTATCAAATAAATAAATAAACAAAAGAGAAGCATTGTCAATGAACAGGAGATGAAATGAACCGCGGATTTATTGTTGCTGGTGTTATGGTAATGCTAGAAACGGTAATTAACAAAGAAAAATATTAAGACTGATAAATAAAAATAACAAAAAAAAAATTCATACGGGCACTATCAACTCACACTATTCAGTCAATTCATGAGACATGCTATGGTTTAAATATAAATGGAATTCATAACTGAACGCAGATATATGTGGTTGCGCACACTAAACATGTCGCTTATGAATGAGCGAATACTCTTTACCCAGACCAAGACCTGACAGGATATTGATCCAATATCCGACACAAATATACAAAGGTTTCCTTATATTTCCATTTCCGTTGGCACACTCCTAATTGAAAACGGAATGATATTTACAGTTTTATCACTAATCCTTTCAGACATCACGTTGCCTCTTCGATACTCTCCCGTGAGATTATTCATTTAAACGAAATCCGACGATTCATTTTAATTATAGAACACTTGTTTAAACTTTTACAGATACAATATGACAACATGACAAAATCGGAGATGAATCATATTTTGTAAGAAATAAAGAGATATGACGGTGTCATCCCATCAAAGTGGAACAGTATTAAAACGATATAGCCAGGGCAATACACCAACCCCAAACGACCAGAGTTGGGCAACGACCCCGTTAGGGAAGATGATGAGCCATACTGTGAAGTAAAGTAAAAATGAAACACACTATTGAAAACATCATCATCAAATTGGAACAAATACACGAAAAAGGGCAAAGGCAATAATGCGACGATGGTAGAAACCCGACCGAAGCAGCACAAGCATTCATACCATCAAAACTCAGTATCTCTTATTAATTTTTCTACTTCTTACTTTTCCCCAATGGCTTTTCACAACTGCAAACTTCGAATCTATACTTAACAAAAACCTTTATTCACACCACTGAAACAGGCACTGACTGATGCGGTGTCTTGTACGTTGCATAAGAGCCAGAACTGTCAATCAACACACTTTTACTGCGCCGACTTTTACATTCACTCGATTCATACAGCTAAAGCAAATTTCAACTGAACATCGGCAATCCAGCCGAATTAATAGTAAGATAATAAGCAGTTGAGTGTGTACTGATTGTTAAATAAAACCATGAAACGGCTCAGTATATGGAACGAACGGCTAAAATAATAGGTGAAACGAACATATGCAACGCTTTTGATGTTATTTTTGCAATTGCAGTACACCTTATCGCTACGTTAATAACAGCCATCAGTATCATCAATTTCAAACATGGATACCAGCATCAGCAATACACATTGATTACGTTTGCATTCCTGATACGTTGAAAACGATAGATTGATAGATCACAGTTCGAAAAAATTCAAGCCACAATCGTAATCATTCAGTAAAATTATCAATCAACACAAAACCAATCAATCCCTCCAAATGGAAATGTTTCATCGAAAACGAATGTATGGATGGATACGAGACAATTCAAAAGTTCATTCTTCACCCAGATAAAAAATTTTGCGATGTAAACAGTAACTTCTTCCGTCTTCCCTGCCGGCAAATCAAAAGCTGTGTTAGCTGAAAGAGAGAAAAAAGAGAGGAAGGTGAAAGCAGCAAAACAGCAACCGCAAAACGCGTATGAGCGGTTTGATCCGCTCACACAAAACGCTATCACAGACTCGAGCAGCACTGCTTCTTCGTTTGAGTCTCATCCGTTGGAGAAATATGGATACTGTTTGATCCACCCGTTGAGACCATAGCCCGATTGTCACCTCCAACATGTATTGTCGACACTGATCTATAGATCTGAAAGAGAATACCAAAGTAACAACATGGGTGAAGTGGCCATGTGTGAATCAAGCAGTAAATACGCTTTATTTTAGCTCCCTACCCTCCAACTGTGCTTGAGTTCAGACTCAGCTTAGTCTCAAGTCCACGCTTGCACTCATGCTTAGTGTTAAGTTGAAGCATATAAGAGCCGCAATGCGTTCGTGTGTATTGCTAAGCTCGTACAAGCTTTACAAGTTGCCAAATGAAACCACATGGGAACTGCGCATCTCTTCGGTTCATAACAATACGGAAACAATCTTAATCAACCTAATACAACCCTAATGTTTTCCTTGCACCGATATGTACGTATATTCATTTTCATAATTTATTTTGCGATCAGAAGTGCTTGGAAATCTATGGAAGAAAAACAGACTTCAGTAAGAATATTGGTAAAGGCGGCCTCCACGTTGGTACTATCAAGCGCAGAGGTTTCAATAAAGGAGAGTTGATTCTTTTCTGCATACGCTTTTGCCTCATCAGTTGGCACAGCACGCAGATGGCGCAGATCACTTTTATTGCCCACAAGCATAATTACTATGTTTTGATCAGCGTGGTCCCGTAACTCCTGAAACGATTCATTATCACTATCAGATTCATTAAAATTCATCACAATTTGAACGCACCTGTACTGTCATACGTCTATTGAAGCAAGCTGAAATGCAAAAAATATATGCGAAACACCGATGTTTGAAGTGAGCGCATATTAAAAAAATTTGGAACAGCATATTCCAAAAGAGCAGCTTGAAATGTGGGTGAATCACTCAAAAGCTGATTCAAACTCATATTTCTGAGATTAGCCACGTCTGTGCTCGGACAAACGAGTGATGTCAATGGGCTGAAGTCGCACAAACATTTGCAAGCACATTGAGAGACTCAGCTTGCATACTTCAACAACAAATCAAGAAATTGCCAACGACAATACCAAATAAACAAGATGAACCATTGTAAGAACAAATGAATTGATCCACCTTTAGCCATCTTTCAACAGCTTCGTAAGTGACGTGCTTCGCAATATCATAGACTAATAACGCACCAACTGCACCCCTATAATAGGCTGACGTGATAGCGCGATAACGTTCTTGACCTGCTGTATCCCAAATTTGAGCTTTTATCGTCTTACCTTCTACCTGCAAATTTTTGTGTAGAAAAATAAAGTTTTCATGAAATAATCATGCCAAAGCCACCTTTATTTGAAGAAATGCACAGAAGTTCTAGAATCCTTACGCTCATCAAGTGTGCAACAACAATTTAATTAAACAAATCATATTGAAGAATCATTCATTTGCCATTTACTCATCTTCATTCTCTCAATTTGAATGCTCACTGTGCTTTCAATTTCTCGTACGATCACCTATTTTCATCCTTTCGAATAGAGATGTACAGTACAGCTACTCATCCATCCAACCAAGCAACATTCCGATACGAAAATGTCATCAAAATATCAGCCTTTAGAATGTACACTCCATCATCAACAACTTGATGAAATAAAATACACATCCACGATAAATTTCAACTGGTGAAACAGAAAAGTTATGAGTTCACAACCAGCTCCGAATACATCGGGCAGCGACGATAATCAAATCATTTAGCTCTCACATAATTCACCCATTGATCTATCATGTGCATATGCAACCATTATAAGAACAATCACTGTGAAAGATGTGCAGGTTCATAAATACTTCCGTGATACAAAGAGGTCATACGTCGGATTCTTGTCTTTACCTTCATTCAGACTCACATAGCAGAGGACAAAAGATGAAACTTTTAAAATAGAGCAACCTGAATACTCCTTGTTGCAAATTCAACGCCAATCGTCGATTTCGACTCAAGGTTAAACTCGTTACGTGTGAAACGAGATAGCAGATTTGATTTACCAACACCCGAGTCGCCGATCAGAACCACTGAAATAACCTTTTTTAGAAGTGGGGATGAAGAAAACCAAAATGACCACTAATCATTCAAACAGATATTTCTAATTTTTGGACGATATTATAAAAAGCATAAACATTTAAATACACTTTGACCTATTGAAGTTATGAGCAGAGATATCACATCATACCAAAGTAGCACATCCTAACAAGCAGATAAATTGACAACCAGAAATCTCAAAGGAAGTTAGTGAGAAAAACACAGGAAAGTTAACGAGAAAGATTCTTGAATGCAAATGTAATGTTGGAAAAGAACTGCAGAAACCTGATGCTACATCCAACAAATTTTCTTAAAATGCGGTGCTTTCACGATTCAATTCAAAACAATATTCAACAGTTCAGACCTATTCAAGGATATTTCCTCTTCAGGACATTCATCACTTATCCAAGTTGACTGATCTTAGACAACAGGTCATAATGAATAAGCAAAATCGACTGTTGAATGAACAGATCTGTTTTTAGATAATTTAACTGGAAATCTCAATAAGGTAACAGTTGATAAGGAAACTGATTAATGAAATAATCATTTCATCGTCCTTAAAACCAATCAAAGATTGCGAAAATAGGCTTTAACGCTCACCCTTAAACAAATAGTCATATTCATCGTCGCGCGAACCCATTGTGTCGTTCCTTAAAAATCGATTGAAATTATTCAACGAACCAATAATGCCATATAAAACACACACGTTCTCAAAATGCAGCAATGCGATACACACAACATTTCATACACCATCAATAAACACAATGTGACGACCGATTCATCACATCGAACAATTCCATCAACCGCTCCATACAATCAGTACAAATATACACAACTTTTATCGCAACACTACAGACACTTTGAATGAATATGAATCAGCACTAGATATGACACCTTCAGAAAAATAATGTCATGATCCTCTAATCGTTCCAGGTGAAAAAATACAGTGAGTAGGCAGCAGATAATCTACAGTCTTGATATGGTAGTACAACATGCTGAAGATGAGGCTCCATTCGGTCAGCTCGTTTTTACTTGCTTTCAAAGCTCGAAAAATCAATATTTCGACGCGAAATTTCATTTCATTTCAGTGTAATCTTCTCAACTCTAACGGGAACAATATTTAATCCCATCGAAGCTATTATGCATTGGTCAACACTAGTTGCATTATTGGTGTTAAGCTTATCAATCAGTCAATGCAAATTCAGATACGCATACACTGAAAGAAACAAAACAAACTTTGAATGACAAAAAAATTGGGGATATCATAAATCAATGAAAAAAACACAACTACGACAAATGAGTATGTTGCTAGCTGCAATCGGTTTGCTGTTGCTTCTTGCTGTTCACTTATAAAACCTATCCTGTGAAACAATCAGCATTATTTAAATAAATAAGCACATATAATCTATTTGAGGAGTTCAGTGAAAAAGCAGTAATGATGGTTGCTGAACTGCGTATA